ATGCCTCATTAGAATTATCCAATCGAATCCCTGCTCCTAGCTTGCGCCTTTTTCCCTATATAAGGACCCCTTTCCCTTGGCTCGGGGCGCTTAGCCACACAAAGGCTAAGTCGTCCCGGGTACCCGCGTCTCCAATAAAGCCTCTTGTTTTTTGCATCCAGTTCGTGGCCTCGCTGATTCCTGGGTGTGTGGGTCTCCCTCTACGAAAGTGCCTCTTCGGGGGTCTTTCAGGGCCAGTCCTAACATCTTGAACTCCCATACATCACTCACTTCCGTGTCTGCATCCAGCAGCACCTGGACCCCAGGTGAGATCTGGATCTGGCTGTTCATCTCATCTTATGCTACAGCCAAGGACACAGATGCTGGGGGCTGTCGGAAGACTGTTCTTCCTGCAAGGACCCCAAGTAAGTTCTTCTAACTCCAAGGCCAGCAGCGCTTTGCTTCCCATAACCCATTATCCCTCCTTACGTGAAATTAAAATCAAGGGCTTTTGGTCTTCTACACACTAATCCATGTTATGAAGCAAGAACAGCTTCTCTCACGAATTCTGAGAAATTCACCTATCTTTTGGTACCAAATGATCTACCTAACAGTTTTGACGGTTTATGAAACCGCCATTATGAAACTCAAATGCTCAAACCATATGTTTAAATAGAATTCTCAATGGATATATTCTTCCTTATAAGCGCAAATGGAATTTCTCAACATCAAGTGGAAAAAATAGTCTATATTTGTTCTTCAGTCAGTTATAGGACAGTGAAAATGATACAGGTAGATTCCATGGTCTGGAATTTCTTCCCCCAAACCATGACTTTACTCCTCAGGTGCAAGATGAGTCACACTCAAAGACATCTGTACATAAACTTGAGTCTGCCTGGCCACACCCACATCTAATATCACTTCTAAAAACATAGAAAAGCAGACTTTCAAATCAGACAATGCATTTCCCACCTGAAAATCTATAGACAGAAGGTGTATGTGGTTTCCTTGTCTGGCTAGTTTCATCGTCAAAATTAGGGTGAAGCTTTTGTGTGCTTGGAGTTAGCCTTTCCCCATGGGCTAGCTTTCTCTCTTGAGAATACTAAGACACACAGCCTGAGGTTGTACCATGCTTATAGGATCACTCAGCCCATATCCTCTAAAGACCTATAGCCTGAAAAGAAGGTGTGTGTTTGTTTGGCAGAGGCATCATGAAAATTCATCCTTGTGCCATGTCAGGCATGTGGGTCTGAAAAACAAATGTCCATGTCACTGGCTCCATGTCCATGTGGGGTTTGCAATAGTCCCCTTTTACTTACTGGAGTCAGACTTTATGAACTGGATTTTGTTCATTCTCCACTGCTATTGAAAAAGCTGCACGTGGCAGCTTATGAATTGTGTCTCCCAGCAGGCTCGGAAAGACAAGTGGAGAGGGGTTGGCCAGTGTGTGTGAAGCTCCCCATGCAGAACTGGACTGGGACACACAATAACATCTGTGTGTAACCCAGAAGCCTGCAAACTGTTTCCTAGTGAGCAAGCAAGTGAGCATGAACAAGCAGGCCAAGGGGAGGCCAGAGAGTCTTTTGTTAACTGTTTATCTTAGAGACTGGTTTGTATGTTAAGGGGACAGAGTGGGGGGGGGCGGCGACAGACAAACAGATTCCTTGCTTGTATGCAGCCTGATTTTGTTTTCTCTGCTATATCTTCATTTCTCATTATCCAAAGTACATATTTCCTTTAATTTGGGGAGTCAGCTCATGGTGACTTTGCATGCACCTAGGGCAGAAATCCCAGTGTCCTCAGCCCCTTACTGTTACCATCAATTATTGGATTGTTTCTATGGCCCGAACACACAGCTAAAAATGCCAATACCATATTTTCAGACTCCTTTGGCTTTGGTGTTCTGTAAAGCTATTTAATGAGATATCACAGTTCTCAGTTCTTGTCTGGGAATGTACTTAAAAAGTTCTCCCTGAGTTCAGAGCACACAGCGATGTCCCCCAATGACTGTATTTATAGCCTCCCTGGATAGCTGGTTGTAAAAAAAACCCAAACTTTCGAAACACTTCTTGATGATTTTGCAAGGTTAGATAAAGTAAACAGAAGATGGAAACCCAGCTGCATGAGCAGGAAGAGGCTGTAGGAATCATCACACAGACAGAGGCTCAGCCTTCAGGAATCAGCTTTGGCGTCCTGGCAATTCCAGGTTAAAGGAGGTCATCTTTAGCCAAATCCACTCTTCCCAAAGAGCAGCTGCAATTCCATCTACTTCATTAAGGTTTGTACTTACTTTTTGCCTATTCCCCCACTCCATTTCATAGATGCTGGGCAATCTCAATTCCACAACAAAAACGATTGTCTCTGTATCATGTTACCTGGCCCAAAAGGTCAAAACAGAGAGTGGCATTGCTGAAGAGCACCGAAGAGTGTGACCTAAAGTGCCCCTTCCAAGTTAAAGTGCCCCTTCCAAGTTGTCTAGAAACAAAGTTCCCCACAGAGGGATCCTGAGAGTAGTTGTCACAGTCTTACACCTTGATAAGCTAGTCTGCAAGAATCCAAACAGCAGTAAAGGGACAGAGAGACTGGTTATAGATTCACAGAGACCTGTCCATCTTCTATACCTGAACTTAGAAAACGTGATGCTATCTAGAATTTTAGCTGTGAAACAGACAACAATAACAACTTTTTAAAATCTCAACTTTCAGCTTTTGTTACTGTTGTCTCTTACCTTTACAGACAATCTGAAATAGTTCCTTGGGAGGACATTTGTGGAAAAACACAACTGTGACAAAATTAAAGACTTAGCTAGGACCATAGACTCTTGCCTATCTTTGATGTTCCAAGAGACTAGGGACATCTGAACATTAAGATTCCCAGTGTCAGAAGATAGCCATAACCTCCCCTCTAAGAAATGAATGTGTAGTACTCACCGGTCATTAGGGTGTAGTAATTGGGATAGGAGAGGCTGGGGAAGTCCGGGGTCAAGTAATCCACTTTGACTCCCCTGTTCACAATCTCTCTGAAGCCAGGCAAGGATGCCAGAACCTCCTCGCTGATGTAGTCTGAGCGAAAACCATCCAGGAGAAATACCAGGAGTTTCCGGTGGGCAGAAGCTGGCCAAACTAGACTGAGCCCAAACACCAGCAGGAAGGTCCCAAGCTTTACTGCCATGATGCCAGGAGCCTGCAGGAGCCAGCTGGCACCACTGTCCCCTTGCAAACCCTGAGGATGGGGAGCCTGGAGCTCTTTTCTCTTCTGGGGCTGGACCTTGAGCTGCTGCTCTTCCCAAGCCAAGTTCACTTGCAGGATTTAAAGGAACAGCACTCCATTTTTAAAAAACGTTTCTGCTCACCCCCACAAAATCCAGAGACTGACTACCTCTGGATAGGCTGGGTTCTCTAACACCTTAGAGTTAACAGGAAGGGAGAAAACACAACCTCGTTGTTTTTAGTAGAATGTTCTATAAATACAAACATTCACCAAGAGTGGATGTTTATAGTCTTAGAAGATGACAAAGTTGACACTTTGGTTTACAATTGTGCTGACCAACGGAAGGAGGAGACAGGGAGACAGGAAGTCTTTAAAATTGTCCTGCCTGGTTTAAACCTTCTGACCTCTTCACTTAACCATTTAGCAAGCCCAAACTCTTAGTGTATAAACTAGAGAATACATTTATGCGGGCAACGGTGAGCTATGTGTTCTTGTCACAGCCATAGCCTTTAAAAACAAATTATTTATCTAGGTCTACACTATTGATTTTTGCCTTAATGTGCCCTAAAAGAAGTGTTATTGTTTTATTTTTCAAATGCAAATAAACTGTTGGTGGCTGGCACTCACCTGGAGGAGAAGTTGTTAAACAGAGGAGCTACAGAGCCAAAGGGAAGGTTCTAGAACTGGGTCCAAAGAGGTCAGGCCTAACAGGTTGGACTGAGACAGCATTGCCCAGGAGGGTGGCGGTGAGATAGAGGATGCAACTTTGATCCGGAAAAAGAGCTTGAAACAACCAAGCAAGTTCCAACACAGGAGTAACTAGGCAGAGGAGCCTGTCACAGGAGGAGGTGTGGGAAGTAGAAATGGTCCAGGTCGTCAAGGAGACGGCAAGGACTAAGTGCCCAGATCGCAGGAACTCTCCAAAGTGGTTCTTTTATATGGTGCAAAATTGAATGAGATGTTTATGTAAAAGCTAATAAAACATGTGTGGCCACAGAAGCAACTTAGAAAATATTGGATTGTGTTTGTGTTGTGGAGTTGCTTGGCTTGTGAGGAGCCAGGCAGGCTGAGTCATTCTGTGGTCACTCTCATCTTCATGCTTCTGGCTGGCTGCTATCCTTCTCCTGCTTCCTCACCCTCTTGTGTTTGAAGTCAAATAAAAAGAAGTTAGCCAAAGGACATCTCAGTTAACTCAGATAAGAATGAAACTTCATTTTTCTCTCTAATAAAAGGTCATGCTTTTTGCAATTAAATTCATTTTTTTCTTATCAGAAAATAGAAGAAGGGTAGCTTAGTCTTAATGTTCATTAGTTTGAAAACACAATTTTATTCTTGTTTTGTTTTTCGAGATAGGGTTTCTCTGTGTAGCCCTTGTTGTCCTGGAACTGGATTTGTAGACCAGGTTGGCCTTGAACTCACAGAGATAGGCCTGCCTCTGCCTCCCAAGTGCTGGGATTGAAGGTGTGCACCACCACCACCACCAGGCTACACAATTTTAGCCTTATCTATTTGAATAATGATATATTATTGCTTCACTAAGTAGAAAAGATGAGACATGAAGGAAGGGGAAGGGGATGGGAAGAATGAGGAATTGAAAGGAGGGGAGCAGAGGGAAGGGAGGAGCAGGGAGAGAGGGAGGGATATATGCTAATAGCTGGTGGACGCCCCGCCCCCAGCATTATGCAAAATTAAAGAACTTCTTCCCACGAGGAAGCCCAAGGAAGCTGCAGACTAAGCTGGACTCTGAAACCTGAGTTTTGCGAGCTGGGCAAAGACCACACAAGTGCATTGGGGTTACCTCTGGGTTAGCTTAGGAGAGAATTCAGCGTTCATACTTTTAAAATTATCAGAAAATCCTCTGCCCTGTTGGGGGGGGGGTTGCTTTCTATTCTGGCCTTTTTTTATCTCCACAACATTGCTATGTTATTATTGTTAAGATTTTAACACTAAACATGTCCACATTCTCTGTTTCAGCATCTTCAGTTTCCACTAAAACATCGAACTATTCATCTGCTCTTGGCAACATTTACAATAACTGGCTTTTTGTAAAGAGGATTTTTATGTTTTATCAAGATAATTGTGTTTTCTGCTAAGTTTGTCAAATTTTTACTTAGGAAATTGAGCCTTTTTAGAAAAATTATATGATTATTAATCTGCCTAGCTTGTCTTTCTTTTGTCAGTCTTGGTGATACAATTTTCAGGATTATTTATTTAGCTTTCAGGTTATCTATAGACTCCTTTGTACTTCTCTTAATTCCCCCAGTGTTACTTTGTCTTTCACCATGTTGGTTTTGGGAGGATTTTGTTGCTGTTGTTTGTTTTTCCATGCAGGGTTTCTCTGTGTAGCTTTAGAGCCTGTCCTGGAACTTGCTATGTAGACCTGGCTGGCCTCAAACTCACAGAGATCTGCCTGCCTCTGCCTCCTGAGTGCTGGGATTTTAGGTGTGCGCCACCACAGCCTGGCTTCATTATGTTGGTTTTATCTCTGCTTTGGGTCTTGTCTTACAAGTGTTTAAATTATATTATTAAGATTTCCAATGTATTTATAAATTCTGTTCTTTTCTAGTTAACTAACATAACCTACACATTTATTAAAGTCTTTCTCCTTATTTTATTTTATTGGTTTTCTTCATGCTTCTTGAAAGCAGAATTAATTATTTGCACTATTTCTGGTTTTATTATATTTTTAAGTAATGTTTATTATTATGCCTTTTCTTGTATGAACATATTTTTTTTCAGATCCAATAGGATTGCTATATAAATTTCCAATTATCACTAGACTCAAACAAAGTTTGAAATCAGTTCACTCTTTAAGTGGATAACTGTCCATTTTTAACAGTGATTTCAGAGTTTCCAGGTAGAGTTTGCCTGTTTCTATCTATTGCATTGTTTTCGGATAAAGTGTTCTACATTAAACCTATGCTATTTGTGTTCTACTTTATGTCTGGCCAATGCAGTGGCTGCTCTAGGGGTTTGGGTAAAGAAGATGTGTGCTCTGCTTACCGGGTGTGGAGGTTGACACATATTTAGTTGCTCAGTTTGATAAATTCCAGCATTTGAAATGAATCTCTAACTGTGCCCTTTCACGGTACCCAGCAGCTGTGATGTGCAGATGTGCACTGTTAGGAGCACTGGAGAAAGCCGGTGTTCTCTCCCAAAGTCTCCAGGGTCCTGTGGCTCAGGACTTGCTAAACTCCAAAGCTCTGCAACAGACCAGAATGCAAATATAAAGGTCAGTGAGTAGCCAGAAGGTGCTGCATTGTCCATGAGGAAACTGAGTCTTAACAGAGTCAAGATTTATTTAAAAATCTGTTTGTTCTCATAAGCTTTATCTAAATCCATGGCTCTCAACATGGGGATCGAAAGCCCTTTTGGGCTCAATGGACCCTTTCACAGGGTTTGCCTAAGACCATTGGGAAACACAAATATTTATATTATGGTTCATAACAGTAGCAAAATTACAGTTATGAAGTCACAATGAAAATAATTTTATGGTTGGGGGATCCCACAACATGAGGAACTGTATTAAAGGGTCACAGCATCAAGAAGGTTGAGAACCACTGCTCTAAATGTTACACAGCAGTTAATTTTAAATCACTACTTGCTCTCTAGGACTAGTGTACCTGACCTTCCAGGTTTTCAGCAGCCATTAATAAGAAGCCAAAAAAGATGAAAGGGCTTAAAAAAGTGCCCCCTTTCCAACTTTGTGTTTGCCTCCCGGCCAACTGCCAGGACTCAGAAGAACTGGTAAGTCACCTCTTGTTTTTATCAGAGAGGTCATGGAGACCCAGTGGTCAGACTATAGCCAGTGTGCATTCTGTAAAGATCAGGGTAATTTAATTACAAAGTATCCTCTGGGCTTCCAAGGAAAGCTATATAGTCAGCAAGACCTTAACCCAGCCCAACACAACTAGGTGGAAAAAAATGAAAGGATCCCTGGGGATGCTCAGAAGGGGGTCTCTAAGAGCCATCCCTGTGCAACCTTGACTGGCCATGATGATGATGAGGAGGAGACGATGTTAGTTTTTTGGCTACCTACATGGTCTTAAACACCAAAGAGGAATGTATAACCAAAAAGTAAATTACTTAGTTGAGTAACAAAACAAATTTCTACCAACCCCTTACCAGGATTCTCATCCAAACCCTGTAGGGCACATGAGCCAGTCAAAGATGGCACTGAGGGGAAATCAGATGGGCAAGTCCTGAGTTGTTTACAAAAAAAAAGATGATTGGTTGCCTAGATTGAACCAGATGAGATCACTGCATGAACAGCTCTGTGTTTGCTAGGTAAAGCATAGGGCAGCTAGGCACAGCCTAGACAGGCTGACCTTTAAAAACAGCTGGCTGTTTTCCTGCTCTGTGGTTTTTTTTTTTGTTTTTTTTTTTGTTTTTTTTTTTGCTTTAAAAGATGCTTGCTGTGGGACAACAAATGAGTTCCTGCTTGACTAGACTCCCTGATACTTCTGATTGTCTCCAGGATACTGGGAGGCTAGGGAACCTGGGAACAGCACACTTACCCTTCCTCAGACCCAGCTCAGCCTTCCATGGTTGGGCTAAGATCCTGCATATTCAACTAGGGACCTGGTTTTCCTAAAGACCTACAAAGGTAATCCATGTAACTAGCTTTAAAAAAAGGACCCTAATGGGTCTTATTAAGTACCCCAAATAACTATCAGATTCTAGGGAATTGATGTCATCATTTGCTCTCTGTTGTTCTGATAAAACACTAACCAAAGCAACTGGTGGAGGAAGAGGCTTATTTGGCTTACAGATTGCAGGCCACCATCTCATCAAGGAAAGCCAAAGCAGGAACTAGAGGCGGGAACTGAAGAAGAGACCATAGAGCAGCTGTTCACAACCAATGGGTTTTGGGGGCCACATATCAGATATTCTGCATGTCAGGTGTTTGTATTACTACAATTTGTAAGAGGAGAAAAACTACAGTTATGAAGTAGCAATGAAAATAATTTTATGCTTGGGGGTCACCACAGTGTGAGAAACTGTATTAAGAGGTTGCAGCGTTAGGAAGGTTAAGAACCACTGCCATACAGGAACACTGCTTACTGGATTCTTCCTCATGGCCTCTCAGTTTGCTTTATCATACATCTCAGGACCACCTGCCTAGAACTGACACCTCCCACAGTGGACTTGGGCCCTCCCACACCAATAATTAATCAAAAAAAATATCCCACAGACTTGCCCTATGGGCCAGTGGAGGCAATTCCCCAATTA